AAATGGATTGGATGCAGCCGTGAGGAGAATACTAGGGAAAGAGAAAAGGATCTTGAAGCCTTCAAACCATTAATTGATGCATATCATGCATTGATGGCACCGAAGACGTCGCCAAAATAAATGGAGGAGAATGTCAAGGACCGCAACTTTACTTAGCCCCTTGACACAATCGCAACCGCAGTTTGCCCAACTTCGGTCGCACATTGTAAATATTAGTTCAAGTTTTAGTTGTTAATTTTCTTTTCATTGTAACAGTTATTTTAGTTGTAAAATAGTTCTGATATTTGTAAACGTTTAGTATGCTTCCTCTTTATTTAAATGTCTACTCCTGTCACTTAGATTTTTGTTCCGAATGTTATTATAGGGGATATTAGTCATTCAAAAATCTTTCAAACTAGCTGGTGTCTGCACCAGCAATTGTAATTTTCTACTTTCGTCAATTGTAATATTTAGCTTTCGTCAATCAAAGTTCAATTTACTTTTAATGTATTCAAATTCTCCGTTGTAAGCTTTTTACAAAATTGTAATCAAATTTTCTTTCGTTCCAACATGATCGAGAAAAGGTGGAAGGTAGTTTAGTGGAGCAGACTATTGCTGTATAGTGTCCCTTTTTGCGCCAGGAAGAAAGGAACCTCGTGAAATCGGGGAAAGAACCATTGATAGTCGATGGTAGACTGATAACGCGGTCGAGGGCAAAGCAAGTAAAAGATGCGATGGGGTTGCTCGTCAAGGCTACTATTGATGAAACCATGTTCCGAACGCAAAATGGGACACGTTTCATGTTGGAGTCGAGAGCCAAAGTGAATTGGATCAACATGATTAAAGCAAACGAAGTTGGAGCCAAAAGTCACAACTATGCAGCCGTATATTTGTCCTTGGCATGCGGTCGCATAAGTACCGACAGGGATTTTGAGGCAGTCGCATGAGTGTTCTATGCGGCCGCATCAATTCCTTCTATGCGGTCTCATAGATCAAATTCGGGACGCGTTTTTAATTTTTTTTTTGCAAATTTCCTATTTCTACTAGAATTCAATGTTTAATTGATTTCTTACCATATTTAAATTATTATGCACGTTTTTTTGTTAGGTTCTAGGAGTCTAGTATAAATACTTTTGGGATTTTCATTGTTTTACAACTTTGACATATTGAATACAATTGTGAGGCATTATTGTTTTTCTCCTTTGTTCTTCATTGAACAACTCGTGAACTTATTAAGATCCATTCTTGTGGCGTTCAAATCAATGAGATTCATATAATTTTATGTAATCAGGAGGTCTGCACACGTCGGTAATTCGGGTTGCTTGGTTCCAAACTTATTGAATTTAATTCAAAACCTTACTTTGGCTTTTTTAGGGACAATTTCAATTTTGTTAAGGGTTTGGTAGCGATCTAACCACGTGGGTTTACATCAGTCTATTTATAAAGAACACCTTATATATGATAGAGATCATTTTAAATTTGAAGAGTAAAACTGTAAGCTTTCAATAATTCTCTCTATTTTGGCTCTTCATTTTTTTTTCCCAATAAACACTAATTAATTTCTCACAATTTTTTACTTAACATATTTTTTTATAGGGGAAAATTGCAACAGCGTTCCAAACCTTTGCGTTTTTTGCAGACTTTACCTCATTCGTCGATTTGTGATGCCACGGGTTCCAAACCTTTCAAAAATTGGCACCTGAGGTTCAAATGGATGGTTTCTATTAGTTTGATCGTTAGTTGACCTAATAAATTGACTTTTACCAATTTTAAAAGAGGTAAAATTGTAACTTTGACTTAAAATCGAGAAAAAAAATCGCTATTCATTTTCTCTTTCCTACACCCTCCATCACACCCCACCTCCTCCTAACCCCAACCACAAAATTGACCACTACAGCCTTATCAACACCTGTCGCCAGCATCCACCAAAACTTCATCAAATAGTGTCTTCCCCACTCCACCTCACCTCAACCTAAAACAAAACCCACCCACCACTAACAATCACCACCAACCGTCGGCAACCACCATCGTCCACAGGAAATAAGCTTACACAAGATAATAGTGGCGGTGGGTGGCGACAGGTAAACCAACACTACCTTCCATCGATAGTATCTCATAGTCGGCACCACCACTCTCTTCGAACCACATCGTCGTCTTCTTCATCCCATGCCAACTCATCAATCCTCGCCTCCTTTAATACATCAACCACAACATAAGTCACCCCACTACATACAAAGTTCCCTATAACCACTGTTCTCAGCAATCGCTACCACCAACATTTTTGCTCAATGCTATGACTGGCTCCTACCATCTCCGGACATGAACCACCGCTGGTCTTTAATTGCAGTTGCCCGTGCCAATTGATTACAACCACTTGTGTTTTCAGGCTCTTGCTCCATTTTTTTGCCTCAATTGGTCATCCTCCAGTGGAATTGATTTTGCCACTTTCGATTCCCAATATTTCACGGGTACTTTTAGTATGGTTTCAGCCTTCCTTTGGCGGGTGGTGGTTGTCGCCCGTGGGTGCTAATTGGTAGTGTGTCTAGATTTTTTCAACCAATGCACGCCTCAATTTCTCTCCCTATAGAAGAAGATGAAGGATTTGGGGATGAGTAGGTAGGGTAGAGTGGGGTGGGTGGTTTTTTTGGATTTTAATTTAATTATTTTAAATATTAATTTGTGATTGACGAAATTGCCCCTATTTAAATTAGTCAAAGTATCCAATTGTTTTATTTTTCAAATCAACTAATGGTGGAACTCACGATTTCCATCATTTTGGACTCCAGGTGCTAATTTTTGAAAGGTTTGAAACCCATGCAGGCACAAATTAAAGGTTGATATAAAGTCTGCAAAAAATGCAAAGGTTTGAAATCGCTGCAGCAATTTTTCCTTTTTATATGACAATGATCAATCAATTCAAATATAATTTGAGTAATTTAAGAAATAAAATATTGAAATTTGTAATTTATTTAATTCGTTCATTATAAAGTAAGAAGAGGTGGCGTGTTAGACTTTACGTGTCAATGGGGTATTTATCCACGTGACATTGATGTCTTATGAATAGACACTTAAGGTCAATATTTCTTTCTAATGCACTGTATATATTATCATCTAGGCATCTTTTATTTTCTTAAAAAAATAATGTTATTTGCAGTCATTAACTACGACAATCGTCCTACGTAGCATATATGTGATGATTAGTAATTTGATAGATTAATGTGGTAGTTTTTTATTGTCTTGTGCATCAAATTATTAACCGCTACATGTATGCCACACAAAACTATTGCGATAGTGAACAACTACAAAAATGCGTTACTCTTTCTTAAAATAGTAACAAAATCACATTTTCTTAATATAATATAATATATATATATATATATATAATTTGAAGGTTAGAAGATCATTTACACATCAACTCCATAAATTAGTTACTACTTGTGCCAATTTCCCTTTTTCCTTCCCCTAGATTGATTGGGCACAATTGAACAAAAGAAAAAGAGAATAATCAATCAATTTTTTTTTCATGAATTTGATGTCCATTTTTTCCTTTGTCGAGAAAAATTACAAATTCATCTTTCTTTACATATCTATCAAGTCTTTTGTCTATATATATATATATATATAGAGAGAGAGAGAGAGAGAGAGAGAGAGAGAGAGAGAGAGAATTTAATGAGCATCAGTGCCTAACTTAAATTAAATATGACATAATACACCAAATAATTTAAACGAGAAGAACTTATAACATGACTAAACGACAAGGCAACTCCTCTATCCTCTCTCTATGAGCAGGGTTGGACGGACAGGAGGGGGATGCCTAATGCCGCTCCCTCCGATAGGGGAGCGCCAATTAGGCGCCCTGTTTGGGTCCAAGAAGAATTTTCCCTCTCTCTATATATGTACACGTATTTGTATATATATGCATGTCACGCACATATATTCACAAAGCCACGCACTCGGATATAAAAATACTGACGAAGTAAGGACATTTTTAAGTGCTCTGAACGGAGTAAACAAATTTCATATCAAAGCAGTTCTCATACAAGTATGAATAAATAATTTTGTATGTATAGATTACTGTATCACAAAAATTGGCCAGAAATCTCACATTTGAACCCCATGTGATTGAAAAAAAGGGCCAAAAAATTCCGCACCCACCTCTTGCGATGAGTTTTCTATTGCATTTCTGTGTAATGACTTTCCGTACACATAGAAATGCCCTATAAGTATTGCTCGCTAACGTCAGTTAGCCTTCCGTGTTTCCAACTTCCAGTAAAATTAAATTTTTATACGAACTTCACTCGACATTTTTTGTTTTTTTTATTCTTTTTCCTGCTCACACCTCTACTTGCTTAAAAAGGCACCAAAAAGCAGCCATCTGCAATTTGTCAAGTCATGGCGATTTTGCTGAGATTTGACATTTACGAAGGACGTGAGTTACAATAATGGCTACTTGGTGAAGAAACACAGACACACA